GGGTGATGGTTGATATACTAGAGCTGGTGGGGGCTGTTTCTGGGGCTCAAATTGTTCTTGTAAATGGGGGGCACGCCGGCTGTGCCGATGATTGTAAACAGGCGCCAATGTCTGACGCATGTGACGTCACTGCTGCAAGCTCTAGTATTGTAATTATATAACCTCTTTGCACGTAACTCTTCTATAACAACTTGGCACGCAGTGACCCCACTGGTGTCTGGGGTGTAGCGGTTAAGCACATCACCTTCACACGTAGAAATCTAGAGACGAATACCTTTGTAAAGATAATTTCTATCGAGTATCTCGGTCTTTCTGCCGGGATGGTCTATCCTTCTCAGGTCCGGTTCGACTCTACAAGCCATGGTCGTGCCCTACCTCTTAAATGATCTAAATCAATTGTGTCGATGGGGGCAAATGCAAGGACTTTTCTCTATAATCGGGCAAATATACACGCAACTGAAACCAAACTTCTCTTACGGGTTGAGCAATGCCCACTTTAGGTGTTAGTCAAGATTTATGGAAACCACGATATATGGGTTAGCCCGCTTGTCCTTAAAAGCGATCATACTTTAAAAAAAGAAGTGAGCCTAGGCAAAAGAGAACAGTCCAGAGTACTTGTTCCACATTTGGTTACGATAAGCTCCCAAATGTTTAATGTCTAACCTTCCCGTTTGGGAAACTGGACCCCAAGATATGTCTCCCTCCTGTTGTGACGACTTGGACGTTATGTTATATATCTCAAATATTTTATATATCCCGCAGAATGTGACGCATCCTACCGGTTTAAGTCATCCAACACGAAGTTACAAAACTTACATATTATATAGTCTCTCTGACATCACGTGACGTACCCGACCTGTTTAAGTGATTCAACACGACGGTACACCTATTACAATTATTATATATTTCATCTGACATCACGTGCAATATCCCACCTGCTTTGGCTGCTTCACAGGCCTGAGCTGTGACTTCCGCTTTGATGGTGTCCAGTGCGTCAAAGTTCTTTGCCTTGAAGACCATACTAGTGTCCGTGGCAATGACCTTCAGTTCGTCCATGCTGATGCCACTGCCGACTCCTACACTGACCACTGTGACGCCAGTGGCCTTGAGGGTCATGGCTTCCTTCACGGTCTTCTCCGCTGGGGGAACGGGACAGCGGGG